AGCTGGGGACTCTGATTCAACACCTCTCCCACTCACCCACCTTCCACTGTTCCATTCATACAAAATAAATAGGATTTTTAGAAAGGAGAGAACTGCCTGGGAGAGAAGTACAAGTGAGAAGACAGGCAAGAAGGAAGAAGAGTTAAATGGTAGATGGATGTTTCCTGAGGCTCCTATGCAAGATCAGTTCTGTGCCCCTTTGCAAGAAGAGAAGCAAGCAGCAAGCCACAGGGCCTGAAGCAGCAAGGAGAACGTAATACAAGGCTGAACCAGGCCCAGTAGTTCACACCTTTTTAGGGTCTGTATCTATCTATGCCCCACGTTTCCACAAGCACACTCCTATGCAATGCCTCTAGTGCTCGTGGAAGGCCAAGTTTGCAGAGATCAGCAGGAGCTGCTGGCCTGAAGGGAGCAGGTGCATCTGAGACCTGGCTCCCAGCACTGGCCAGAGCCTGAGCTTGGCAAGGGCCAGGATGCCCTTCAGGGGTAGGGTTTTCTTACACCAAGGGCCTCTGAGTTCAGACCCAAGAAGGTGATGACTTAAGAAGCCTTAGCTGGCTGGGAATGGCATGCGGCTGTGAGGCAGTCACCAACATCCAACCCAGCCACAAGATGAGGGAGGCTGGATAGTGCCTTCTCTCTTAGGAGCATGGAAGATCTCACCGAGCACTCAGCTGGGTTTGCTGTAACCCTGCTCTGCTGTCAGTGAGCCACATGCGGTAACCTGTGATCCAGGGGATGCTGGCTGTCAGCAGCAAGTGATACCTCCAGTCAGCTGATTGGCAATACTTTGTCGGGGTGAGAGGCAAACTGGGCGAAACACAGGGCTCACAGAGAGCTCAGTGGAAGCAGCACTGGCACTGAGCTCCTGCAGGGGCTCCTGATGGAGCTGCCATACCCCAGAGTGTCACTACGCTCACATTCAGAATCAAACTTGGTGTACAGTCCCACTGCAAAGGTATGTCTGTGTACATACCCAAGAGCTGTAGGAATACCTCACTGCTGAGTGTGCAGAGCTACTTTGGTTTGCAAAGCGATATCAATTGACAGAACAAATTATTAATGGAACAGACGCTTGCAGGGGCAGAGAGGCTTGGGAAGCGTTTCAGGATACTCACCCACTCAGCTGCAGCCACGTTCCTCCCTCACGCCTCGCGTCTGTGTTTCCCAGCTAATTCGTAATCCATTGCAATCGCTCTCAGTCTCTCCTGTGCTTTGAGTTTGCAAATCAGGCTGCCTGTCTAAAGCCATATCAAATGTGTTCCAGCAGTTCCGCTCTTTCATCCCTGTCAGCCACACTGACTACATGAGTAAGCTCAGGAGTAGGGCAGGACCAGCAGACATGACCTTCTGTGAATCAGCTGCACACAGGCTCCATCTAAGGGGACTAGAGACGCCCTCCAGCAAAGCTCACCATGGTAATTTAAGACTTTACCATCTGCAGCACCCCTTTTTTAGACGTTGCTATTTCATAGCGGAAGAGGAGAAAGAAAGAAGTACTTGTTCCCGCCTTAACTCACTTGCTTCACATTCCTTCTGCAAGCCAGGGCACTGGTCATGTGGCACAGGGCTCCTTCTTCTACCTCTGCCATAGGATGAGCTCTTCCCCTGCCACAACATTTTCCTCCACTTCTCTTGTTACTTAAACCTTCACATGTGGGCTCTGTGATGTTTTTCACAACAATTCGCTCAAGGGACACGAGATACTTTAGTTTTGCTTTGGGTGCTGCAGTAGGCAGTGTCAACTCTAGGAACAGCTGCTGGCTGCAGTTTTTCCTAGGATATGTAGAATGAGGTAAATGAGCACATTTTGTAAACCAGTCTCAATTTTCCCAAATTTCTTCAGTAGGAAGGAGTCCTGAAAAAGCCTTTTAAAATATAACAGTTTTTTTTTTTTTTTTTTTTTTGAGATGCTTTTAAATATCCTTATTTAAAACAGTTCTTCATTCAGAAATTTTCTATACTGTTTTGAAGGCTCAAACAAAACGTTCCACCACTTTTTTTTTGTTTCTTTGAATTTATATAGAAAAATTACCCCATTTTGGTTTGCCAAAAATGGTTGTTTTTTCATTGTGGTTGACCTGAATTCTCAACATAGTTCCAAATTGTATTAGTATTTTTGCATTAGTATTTTTTTAATACGACAATAGAACATCAGCTAGTAGCACATCCAAGAGTGCATTTTGGCTCTTTATCTCACAGTAAGGAGGATGCTTTCCTTTGCTTAATTGCATCCTGTTTTATACAGATACCATCTTCTTGTGCTGCTCTGAGAATTCCTCGCCTCATCCTGGCTGGCCTCACCTCTCCAAGCCTTTGTGTTATATCCTTTTGCTCTATGTAGGTCACTACTGCACTTCCCTGGAGTCTCCCCTTGTCATTTCTGAAATGAGATGCTTCATTAGCCACTCTCCACTCTTCTGACATTACTGACTTCTGCAGACACCTCTGCTAGTGGCTGTCTTCCTTCTCTTGCTGTTTGCCCTACAGAAATAGTACCAAACACATCCATGAGTCAGAAGCTCTGGGGAATGCCCATTAGTGCCTGCTGTGTTACTCCTGGGTGTGTTTCACACCCTACGTCTTATGGAACCTCATTAAGTTTCTTCTGCATTTAGATGCTTGGCATAGCTAATATTTGAAGAGTGCAGATATGAGGTTGTTAACATTTTGTTTTAATCCCTCATCTCACCATATTTTGAGGGTAAAAGGAGAAGATTTGTAAATCAGAATTAGATCTATGCTTCCAACTCAAATGGCTCTATTTTACCCTGAGAGAACTAAATGAGGAGAAAAAAAAATTATGTATACAAGTCTATGCCATCCCTTTCCCCGGCAATGGGAGGATTGAAACTGAACATAGCATGGCTGTTATCTTCTGCTGACTGGGATGAGACATTTTAAAGGTAGAAAATGCAGAGAACAACGTGTGCATGTTCCAGAGCTTTGCACACAATCACCAACAAATAAGCCTGGCTGACTCTTTGTTTTCTGTAGGAGTGTGCTCCATACAGCTAATCCCATTGTCCTGAATTGCCATCTGGAGTATGCCACGAGCAGCTCTGTGTAACAGAGGTGTTGCAAGTGTACGACAAGCAGGGCAGCGCACCGAGGGGCTGCCAGGAACCACGAGCTGCTCTTGCTCATTCACACTTGGGGACTAATACACAAAATGTACTCAGTGAAGGGCAACTGCCTCTTGTGAGAAATTTCCTGGAAATAAAATCCTGCATTGCAATAGCAGAATTTTCCTCCCACAGTTCGCGATATACCATTCAGAGCATCACAGGAACTCCACATTGGGGGGACTTTCAGAAAGCAGGAGAGCTACTGACAGCAAAAAAAAAAAAACAAAAAAACCCCCCAAAAAACATGCTAAAGCCTGATTAAAAAATGCTTGGCTCTTGCTGTGCTAGAAATGATCTTTCTTCTATCTGAACCCCATGGGAAAGGCCTTGTGGCATCTGTGGGCAGGCGATTGTCCCATTACCTGCACAGCAGCTGCCTGTGGTTCTCCTTGCTCCAGAGCACACCTGGGCTCTCTTTACCATTTGTCCCAGGCATCTGTGTCCCAGCAGCTCAGCGGCTGTGATCAAGGGAGGTCCTGTGCATCCCTGCAATCTGCTGAGCTGGAGGGCTGCACCTCTCTCCTGGCCCAGCACCACCAAGCACAGTCATCCTCCATCCTACAGTGGCTACAGGTGTTGTTTTTTTATTCTGACGGGAGGGGTGGGTGGAGGGTTCTTTACAGCTATTGCTGCTTCTGCTGGATGATCTGTATCTTTTCTCTCCTGTACTTCCCCAGCTTCATCAGCCTCATAGTTGTTCTCACTTAGCTCTCTTTTATGGTAGGCATGTGTAAGCAAGCAGAAGTTTCCAAATACCTGGTAAAGCTTTCTTTTGGAAAAGGAAGAAAATGGGTCAAATGTAGCAGCCAAGTCCTGATGGCTTTAACCTTGCAGAATTATTTGTTTCCTCTTTTTAGGTCTGTACTCTGTACTAGGCTGTCAGAGCAACAACAGCTCTGGGCAGTGGGGGAGCTTCTCACCCATTGATTTCAAAGCTGTCTACTATCAGTGGTGGACTTTATCACACTTCAGGGACATGGGGAAGGAAGGATGGAGATTTGACATGATTCCTCCTACCTGCCCTGCTTTGCTCCTTTATCTCCTGACAGCTGCAATTTCTTGCCACCTTTAGACCAGGGTTCTCATGTCACAGAAGTAGAAAAGCACCCATTCATCTTCTCTCAGTTTTTCCCCTGAGGGCTGCTGTGTTTGTGCAGGCAGGGCTACATTTGCTCAGAAAGGCAAAAGCTGCCTATCTGCAGCAGTCACCCTTTCTCTAACCCTCTCCAGAGGTCTCTCTGACACCTGCCTGCTGCTTGACATCCATCACTGGTAAAATGGCAGCCAGGTCACCCTCTGCTCCTGAAACAAAGCACAAAGCCTCTTTGTTGACATTAACCTCAATAATGAAAGGTGCAGCTTATGTTTGTAAAGAAAAGGAGAAAAATCACAAGCATTTGGTTTATGTGTTCTCCTTTTCCTCTAAAGTCCAAGGTCTTTGATCCATTTTGGGCTTTGCTCCAAAAGCTCATTAAAAGGAAAGTGTAGCCAAATATTAGTCTGAAAGAGAGGGGGAAAAATGGCTCATCCATCAGAAGAAAGACAAACAGTGTCAGAGACTGGTTACTAATTTGCTATTCCTTGGCAGGTCTGCTTCTTTTTAACTAAAAGAGGCTGAAAGCTTGAAGTTTTCTGACCCCGGGCTCCTCCCTTTCCTGGTGTGGCTATCTCCTGCATCCATTGACCACCTTCCCCCTCTGAGCTGCTGGATGGGCACTCCCAGGAGAAGGGACATGTTCCCAGCACAAAGATGGCCCCTGCAGTCGCCAGCTGAAATGTGGCAAATAGATACATTCTCTTGCAGCAGAATGGTGGCAAATAGGTAAATTCAAAAGAGCAAATCAGCCTGAGCCATAAGTCTCGTAAAGAAAATAAGGCTTTTATTTGATGAGGTTTTATTAAACATACTTTAGGACAAAACTAATTCTCTCAGTGTTATCAGACCAATACTCAGCATAGTTTCTGGGAAGGGGAAGGAATCAAGGATGATGGAGAGAGAAAGCTAAATGATGATATAAATGCTTGTATGGGAACTGTTGAGTCACGGCCTGAACCACTGACTGATCACCTGAGGCAAGGACTGGGTCAGCTGTGGGAGCACAGGTGAAGGCAATTCAGCTGTGTGACCGGAAAACTGGCTCCACCCCTCCTAGACCCCATTTAAAGGCTGACTAACACTAGAGGAGGGTCTTCTTCTGGAGATCCTTCCTTTGGAGAGCTTTTCATTGTGAGCCTAATCTTCTGATATAGGTGAGCATTCCTTCTCTGTTTGTTCCTTTGCTGTCTTACTACGATGCTTTTTCCAACTGTAGTTTGATTATGTGCAATGCTGCAAGACAGAAAGGAAATACAGGGGTTTATTTTGGTCTCAAAGGAGTCCAAAAGGCTTTTGAACAGGAACTATGGAAGTGAAACTGTTGATTCCCAGCACTGGGGAAATGTTTAAAAAAAAATGGAAGAAAGATGGGGTTTTCACTAATATCTAAAAAGAATAAATGAGCTGTCCATTTCTGACCTTCAAGTCCAGGTAAAATAATGGAACAGCCAAATAATATTCTTTAGTTAAAAAGGGCAACTAATAAATGACAATTAAAATTGTCAAACCAATTGGAGACCTTTTCTTTGTTGAGATTATAATTTTGATAGGAAAGATGAAGTACTAACTAGTTTAAACTTAGTTTTCGTTCAGGCATTTGCTTTGGGAAAATACAGTACTTTGATTTAAAAAAAAAAGTACATAATTAAAGTGGAGCATGATCAGTGGCTTGGAGAGTGAGTCAGTACCAGTGCTCCTATGTCAGGAATATGACCTTGTAGGTGTCTTCAGTCTGGCAGGAAAGAGCTGTACAGCAACAGCAAAGGGAAGGAAGGTCTATGGGATGCTTTTCCAAATGATGTGCTCATGTTCAAGTGAAATTAATTCAGGGAAGTTGTGTGGTCTCTGCTAAAGGTTTTCATTCTCTTTCCATCTGAGGGCTCAAACAAGTTTTGCCATTGAGTACGTAGATCCCTTAGAAATGTCATTCATGTAGATAGTAATACAGTTATAGAGCAGTTACAGAAGTTGCCTTGCTTTAGTCATCTTCTCTACGTTCTAGCAAACACCCTGCATGGGAACTGTAGATCAGCTGTGATGGGGTAACCCTGGAAGTCTTGTCTATCTCATCCCCTTGGTGCTTGTACCAACTTATCCTCAAGAGAAGGATGCATCCTCTAGCACAGCATTACTCCTCTGGTTTAGCAATTGAATATTTTTAGTCACCAGAAGAAGGGCTGCTTTAAGAAATACCATTTGAGTCATAGGGGAATTGAACAGTGGTCAAATTTTGTTGTCCTGAGTAGGAAGCTGCACTCCCACTTCCTTCCTGACTCTTTCCAGAAAATCTCTGACAGTTGTCTCCCTCCTGTGTTTCCGTCACCCAGAAACCTTCCGTGCTCCCTCAGGAGCCTCTGCAAGGCTCCAAAGTTATCTCTGCCAAACCTCATTTGCTGCTTCACCTGGGAAGCAGCAGGTTGTATTTCAGGGGAATCGCTAAACTTGGGTTTCTCTCAACTGTGTCTCTATCCCTTATGGTGTCACGGTTCTTGGAAAGGTGAGAAATACAGTGCCTTCAGGCTGAGGACATAAAGGCTGGTGCAGAGCACCACATCTTTTGCTACTAGATCACCATGCCTTAACAGTGCACTTTGTTAGCTTTAATTATTGTTGTACCTGCTGTAAGCTGAATGCTTAGTGTTTGGTAAAGTCATGCATGACACCAGGCAAGTATGATTTAATCCCATTTTGCAAGCTGGGAAAGTTTAGGCTTGTTGCTGTAAGTGATGTCACAGAGGGATGTGGCAAGGAGCCAAGTAAGAGGTAGGGTAATTCTTGGGCAGCTTCCTGAGCAGGAAACGGCTGAGGATACACTCATCTGAGTGTATTTAGATGCGTGCATGCTTTGTGAGCAGCACCCAAGGCAGTACTTCCTGCCTCCAGCCTGCTGAGGAAGGAAGCTTTGTGGTAGGAACATAAGGTTTGCAGGTAATGCTGGCTCACAAGCAGGGAGGGAGGATGTGACTCTCCATGTGTCACTGGGTTGAGGCAGGGGTGGGATGAGGGGAATTTCCAGCAGCAGTCCCCACTGCATGTGCAGAGAGTGGCAGCTGTTCAGCCAGGGTGCTGCACCTGGCTGGGGAGAGGGCCCAGGGCAAGGAGAAAGGGTTTGTATGCCCTGGTGATGAGAATAACACTGCTGTGTCTGCAGTAACCCATCAAAGAGAGGCAGAAGGGTGGGAGGGGCAGGTTTTCTGGCTGATTTAGTGCAGACCTATGTGTCTGAGAGATCTCAGCTTCAGAAACCTATGTCTTCATCACCTTGGCCATCTGTCAGCAGCCTTGCTCAATGTTTTTGGATGCCAGATCCAATTTCCTGTAGGTGTTAGTCGTCTTCTAGGGTTCCCAAAGCTACGTGCAGTCCTCAATTAATTAAACTGGTACCTTCTAGAAGTAGGTAATAATAAGGGATGAGATTATGATTATAGGTATTTTAATTTTTTTTAAATTATATATGATGGCAATTTTTGTATATGCTGTAATACTGTTGGGTCTATAAATTTGTGTGAGGTGAGAATAAAACTGTCTTCTTGCTTCCTGGGTTTGCAAGGTCCATTTATCTAATGCTGATAGAGAGCTTAGGTAACACCTAGTTTGTCTGCAATCTTACCTTGCTGAACCTCCTCTGGTGCCTCCTGTCCCATATGGGACTGATGGGCCTGGTGCTTCAGCCACTTGGACACCAAATCAGCAGCAGTAGAGAACAGCCTGGCTCTGGCAAATGCTGGCAGCTCCTTGATGCTACTATGTGCATCTGGCAGCAGTGCATCCTCTTGCTCAGCATGTCTGCTTCTGGGAGTTTGCCTGCATGCAGGCACTGGTGCCTGAGTGTCATCCCAATGCTGCAACTCATTCAGCTGCAGCTGAGACACTGTGGACTTGTTCAGCTGCTTTGCTTTCTGGGTTCAGTCTTACTTCACTGTGAAAGCTTTTACACAGAGAATTAAATCTATCATCTCTGCTAAACCTCTGGATAATTCTATTGCAGTGCATTAGAAAAGTAGGAAGTCTATTACAGTCTGCAAATGGCTGCACGTGCAGTTTAATATATTATTGAGGAATGAAACAGGAGGCTACCCATTCTAGTTTGTAAGCAGGAGTAATATTATGATAAACTATATCCAATGTCTTTTGCATCCTGGGTGTAGCCCAGATTTTGGGCGAAAAGCCCAGGTGATGCCCTTAGTTCTTGTACTGAAACTCTTCTTCATCTGTGGTCTCATCTGTTAAATGAGATGTAGTGCCACTGAGAACAATGGGCACAGAGATCTGTCACTGAGCCTCAGCAGTCATAGGAAATTGCCACTCTGCATCTATTGGATGCCTGTGCAAGGAGGTTATGATAAGCTTGTCATTCTCTATGAGGTGTACAAATGATAGACCTGTTTATAAGAAGAAAGCAATTAGAAAGCTAGTACCTGGAAAAGGTGTACATGACAAAAGTCTCAGACTGGGCTTTAAGTAGTTTTGAGTAGCAGCATCCCCCCCACTGCTATTTTGCTCAGATTTTCCCTAAGCAGAATAAGTTTGTGACCAGAGCACTGCACCTCTGTGAGTCCAGGTAATCTATCTTGAAACTGTGTTTCTATGGAGACCATTATATTTCTGAATGACACTGAGCTGGCCTAAAGTGCTGGTCTTCCAGGGCAGCCTGGGGCAGCCAGCTGGTTTTCCTAATACTGTTCAGAGAGGAATGAATCCAGGGTCTGGACTGAGGGCAAGGGGGAGAAAGGAACAGAATGGTATCTGTGGATGCAAGTGAAGGCTGAATGTGATCAGTGCTAGGATATGATATTGCACTGGGGGAAAGCCTTGGCCATCAAAAAGTCCTGGGAATATAGACTTCATTGGGATTGTGTGACGCTTTTCAAGGGACTTCACATAGAAAACTAAGTGTTTGTTTTTCTCCTACTGCTTCTGCAAGCCTATTCTTTAAATTTGCCAATGTGAAGAAATTAGTTAGTCACAGGCAAGCAGCAGAAATGACTGCAGAAATAGATGGTGGGTCCTTGCTTGCTGCAACACTGAAGAAGTTCTTTTGCAGAGAAGCCTGGTGCCAAGGAGAAGATCAGGCAGGACCAGGACAGCAGAGGGGAAGGTCTGCTGCTTGATGCTGCCTCCCCCTGATGCTGGTGGCAGAAAAGTGACCTCTAACTGCAGTATGTCTCAAAGTAATATTTCTGTGGATGCATGAGCATGATACTTTCTTCCTTGCAGAGAAGGATAGACAGTCTGACTAAAAATAAAATCCAAATTCAGACCAGAGTGGATTCCTCCATAATATTACTTTTGGCCAAACTGCTCTGAATTGGACAACAGCATCTGGAAAAGATTGTGTCCCTTAACTGGCTAGAGAAAAAACAGTGTTTGATCTTGGCAAATATCCCAGCATTCTGCAGAGCACAGAATGGTTCTCTCCTTTTTGACCTCTTTGTTGGACTCTTGAGCCAGCCAGAGTTTTGAAGTTCTCAGTTTATTTCAACAAACTGGCTGGCAGCTGAGTTCAACAGGTGCAGAAATAAGGTGATTTATTCTTTCTACAAAAAGGCACAGAAGAGAGCTTTGTCCAGCCAAGCGTTGACCAGGAAAGGTATGGAGCAAAGGAGATTTCATCAGCTCCAGCCCACAGAAACTACCCTTCCAAGAAGGGAAAACCTCATTCTGAATCACATAATAGTGCATTGTACTCTGCAGATCAGGAGACCTGTCTGCAAACTGCCCTGTACCCGCTGGGCTGCTGTATGAACAGTTAGTAATGACGTGCCACCTAATTTGCTCTGTCAGTGAACTCATTTCCCTCACTTTGAAGCACTGGTTAGTCATCTTTATTAGCCCACCCTTCTATGACGTAGTATGGAAGTACATTTTTAACTACCATTGTAGTGCTTCATGGCATTTACTCCACTGAAAGACAGAGAAGCAACATCTGTTTTGAGGGAAGTGCAAATTTGAGTAGAAAGTGCCTACTCTATCCATGCTTGGTGAGGTCAGCTGCTTTGCTCTGCTGGTCTGCTTATGGGGCAGGGCAAGGATGGATCCAGCCCTGCTGGGAACAGACATGAGCAGGGTGCCCATATCTCAGCACAACCTTTCAGGTGCTAGAGGAAGACACGTTGAGACATCCAGCAATAATTCACTAGCGAAATGTGCACAGTTTTCTACCTACCCCTTGCCTGTGTCCTGAGCAGTGCACGAATTTGATTTCTGTGCTGTTGAGCAAGCTGGCTCTCAGCCCATAGGGGTGAATCATAGCACTATCTTATTGCGGCAAGACTTACCTACAACTGATCACTCATCTACAGCATGTCTGAGAAGTGGGATGGCCTCTTTGCTCCACCTCCTAACACCCTTCAGGCTTTGAGCAGGTGCAGTCTCTGCTGTGTTGCTGACCTCGTCAGGAAAGCTGCAGGGCAATCAAAACATGGGTGCTCCTAATTAGGCAGTCCTTTCATTGCATGCTGAGGTGTGTTAGCTTATACAAGTCATGTGCCTACACCTAAATAAAGTGGAGAACCCTTTTTTGTATCAAAATGACTATTTTTGTCTTATGTGGCCAGCCCTTTATTACCCTCTTGTGCTACTTGATCCTAGATGCGTATATCCACTTATGTAGGTATATAGGCTTTTCAATTTTTCTTTAATTTAAATTTGATTTTTAGAAAGAACAAGATGAGCTCCAAGTAACAGAATGTGATAGCTCTGGAATATTACACAGCATTAATCTCAGAAGTGAGTGGGAGCAAGACACTGAGGAATGCACAGCCTGAGAAAACTGGGGAGGCTGGGTAAGTAGCAGGAGCAGATAAAAGCAGACAGCTTGGGAAGATGCTTAGAAATGAAATATCAGTATAAAGAAGACAGAGAGGAGAGACAATGCAGGCCACTTCTAGGGCTGACCTTTCAGTGAGTGCCAGCAGCTCCATGCTTCTGGATGTGGAATTGTTTCTTGGGTTTGTTGTTTCCATGCTCTTGGAAAACTATTGTCTAGGGCCTGACCTCACGGGAAATGCAACTACTTGACACAGCATGTCCAAGAAAAAAATGAAAAGCAAAATATGGAATTCAGTAGTTAACTCTTTCTATTTTTAGCTTGTATTTGAGTTATCCAGAAATGCTTGCAACTTATGGAAGATTTTGGATGCAGAGGGTTTTGCCAGTTATTGCAGAACTTAAAAAAAAAAAAAGCACATATGCTGCATTTTGTGCAGTAGCTTATGAGCTGTGAAAGATACCTTTAAGGTAATCACAATATGCAATATCACTAAGGTTGTTTTTAGGTAGTTGCGTTAAAGATTTCTCAAGTAAGAGCTGAAGCAACTGATTCCCCAGTGTTAAGGAGAGGCATGGAGTGAAGGATGGAGATCCAGCACACGCCTGGATCTGTGATGGGGGTCACAGGTTGTGAAATTCAGAAATTGGGTTGTAGCTGTGTTGTGGTTTGCATTTCTGAGCCCTCCTGTAAGAAACTCCATGGTTACTGTTTGCAGAGATTACTGCTGTTTGGTAGGGATTTGCCAGCAGGTTTCATGTCTCTGAGGGTCTGCCTGTGTTACAGTCTGTGGCTCTCCTTGGTTTCTGCTCTGTACAGACACGAAGAACTCTATTTTCATTTCCTCTGAAGCAGTCTGGCTTACTGACTTCCATTCAGTTGCTCATTTTGGATAGCTGAGGCTGCCCCTAACCAAACCACAGCTCCATCTGATGCACACAGGCTCCCTCTTTCTTCTAACTGCTTTTAATGCTCAGGGCTTGTTAGCTCCCTGGTATATTATATATTTTCTCTAGTCAAAACAGGAAATCGGCCCAGAATTCCTTTGCACTAGCTCTGAGAAGCAGGTGTGGCAGCACCAGGGTCCTGGAGGTAAAGTGCCAGAATGTCATAGCCAAGGGATTTGCACCGTATTCAGCCAGGAGGTTGTTGTCTGCCTATGGCACTAATTGCTGAAGAGAATATGTGTATGCAACACATCTTGTTTTTAATCATGTATACAAGTATTTTCCTGGCCTTGGAACTGGCAGCCAAAATGTGATTAAAATTCAGTGAGTTTTGCCCTCTCCTGGGTAGGAAGCGGTCCCAATGAGCCAATGAAGGCAGCTGCACTAGCCAGGGCTGTGACCCAGGCCACAGCCTGAACAATGAATTGTGAAGGAAGAAGGGCAAACCTCTGGGAATTGCCTGTTTCCTTGGAAGATGTGAGGAGCCTGTTGCTTAGAGGACCTCACTGCATCTCTCAAGCAAAGAAAAGGCAGTGCTGCCCCACAATGGACAAAAGGGGTGCAAGATCCCAAGGTCTCCTTCAGCATCAGATTTCCAACTTCAGGTGAGGAGGGACTCAAAAAGAGGCAGACATATCTTTGATCATTTCTGCATCAGCTTAAATCTGCACTTCAGGTTTCCTGCTGATTGCTTTGGAGTCAAAGGAGAATTGCTCACCTCCTGGATGCAGACCTTGAATACTGCAGTGTTTGTTTCTTTGACAGTTATCCTCATCCTTCAGTGATGCAGAAGAGTGTGGCGTCAGTAAGTGATGGTGTGCAGAGAGCTGGGTTGTGCCCTCAGCAGTGCCATCAGCAGAGCCTGCTGATACCTGCAGCCTTTCAATGATGCACAGAGGGAATTATATTTTGCAAGTGGAGGTTGATGGAAATTGCTATGTAGATTTTTTTGCTTTCCTTTCTTCCTTTTTTTTTTTCTTCCTCCTTTTTTCCTCTCTAGCTTCTAGGGGCCTCTTTCTTCCTGTGGTCACCTAGGAATTGCTGTGAATTGCGTGAAATCCCATGCTGCCACAAAGGACCTGAACACTGGCAATGCCCATGAGGCTCCCCTGCCCTCTTCCTGCTTGCAGTAGAATTTTAACTTTTACCAGGTTTCTGTGGACTTGAGAATGCAAAATGGATATCCATGTTACCTTGCTGGTCTTCTAGCTGGTCTCAGCCAGTCAAAGAGTACAAGCTCATATCCTAAGCAGATGCTAATTTATTCTGGAGGGCTTGCACCTTTGGCAGATGTTATGCATTTCACTACATCAGAGACTCAGCTGTCAGCAGAGAGGGCAACATGCATATTCAGGGCTTTCTTTAATGTCAGCCATCACAGAAAATGTCTGCCACACAGCAGTATCTGCTTGAAATGCTGTGGGGCTATTGGTGATGCAACTCAGCACACTGCTGTGCAAGTGGGGTTCTTCCTTGTAGGCTTCTTGAATCTCACTCCATTCATTAGAAGGACTGATTTCTCAGGTCTTTACTCTGGGAGACTATTCACCAGCAAGACAGTCAGTGAATTTACGACCCACTAAGTGTGGCACACTTGTATCCTACAGGGATAATGAAATTTAAGTCTTCTAAAAGTGGCTTAATGCACTTCTTGAATTTGTGATAGTTTATTTACTCAGGCTTCCTGGCTTGTAGTTTCATTTTTACCAAGTCTTGGGGGCTTGGGATGTTGGAGTAAATGGCTCAGCTTAGTGCAGTGGCTGAGGGCCCTTGGTGTGCTCAGCTCAGAGCAGGCTGAGGGCAGGCCTCATGCAGCCTACAGCTCCTCATAGGGAGCAGAGGGGCAGCACTCTCTGGTGACCTACTTCTTGGGTACTCTTGTGTGGAACCTGGTGCTGGACTCAGTAATCTCTGTGGGTCCCTTCCAACCCAGGATATTCTACCATTCTATGGCCTGTTTGTTCCTGTCTGAGGTTATATTCATTCACGGTTACCTTCTTTCTCAGGTCTAGGGGTTTGAAGGGCTTCAACTGTGTGATGCATCTCTGATGGCAGAGGTGTCCAATCTTCAGTTGTTGCATCAGCAAGAGGATGGTAAGAGTTTGTTGCTAGAGGTTGGATTCAGAATGAGTTATTATGAATGCTATGTATCTATCTGACAGTGATCTGTACAGAGCAGTGACAGTCACAAATTGTTGCTAGCAGCAGGTTGTAATGCTGAAGCAGCTTGTCTGCCTCTGGCTCTCAAGCAGGGACCTGGTGCTGCAAAGTGGAGTGGCTGGGCTCAACCAGCATCTCCCTTTGGCACAAGTGAGGCCTCATTTCCTGCAATTTTCACTCCGGAGCAATGGATGAGCACCTGCTTTGCTGCAGCTCCATTGGGCTTGGTGAGCCAGTGTACTCAGGCCATGCCCAACTTGGCACACCAGAGCAGCACTAATACAATGCAACACCCCTTGTCAGCCCTGCTGGGCTATGAAGGCCCAAAGGTTAGAACCTGTGCCCAGTAAATAGGACAGTCCAAGTCTTGGTTAATTTGGATGAAAAACACTTGGACTCATAGGTCCTGTGGCACAGAGGAAGGCAATCAGTCAACAGGGTAAGGAGGAGGGTAATTAAAGTGAAAGCATTCTCCTTTAGAAGCTAGCTGTCCTGCAAGAAAGACAGGATTCATGAAGGCCAGATGGCACACAGAGCAAGGTCTCCAATAGCACCTGGTTAGTGAAGCTTGGAGAGGGCAGGGTCCCTGACAGGATGCACTTCTTTTTTTGTAAAAGTCACTGACTGACTATTTTAAAACATAAAGTCATTGATACCACTGTAAAGTTTCTGCAAAAGATTCAGAAAACCTGAATTGTACTAAATGTGAAAAACTGGCAATTTGAGGATTGCCTGATACTATTCTACTGTTGGCTGAAACAGTGCTTATTACAGAATCAAGCAGAACCTGAATTCTGCAGCTCTGGCCATCTCTCCACACCATGTAATTATCCTGCCTCTATTCCAGCAAGCTATTTATACCACCCCCACTCCACGTAGGTTGCAGCTGCTGCTGCGCCTGAGCCTCTGGGGCCTGGTAGGCTGCTCTTGGGAGGATGCTTTCTTCTAGGAATCAGGACACAAAAGCTGTTGGTGCATATTGTTCGCTGCTCGCCAGTGAAATGGAAATTTGAGGTCGGGGAGCAGGGTGGAGGCAGCATTTGTCACTGCTATCTTTTGCACAAAAAGGGCTCCGAAGCATCACATAATAGCAAGGGCACAGGTAAGTGCATACTGGGAATAGAATCAAAATAAAGGGAGCGAAATCTACATCTTTTGAACTGATTAAAAAAAGGGTAATATGCACTTCCTCCAAGATGGTGGGAAGTCCAGCTTTTCTGTAGCATGTGCCAGCCTTCAGGAGCTCTCATCAGCTGTCTTATGACTGTACCCTCTCATTTAGTGGAAACAGTCTGGTGATTATTTTCTCACCTTTAGCCTAAAAGAACCTTTTAGGCATTTAACTGCTTAAGTGCATTCTGTGCCCTATTTCTCTGTTTGTGTCCTTATGTGAATTTTCTAGATAGAGCAAGGCTCTTTGGGCAAATCAGTTCATACAGACCAAGAGAAGCTTGCTGTTAGATTCCTCAGGCATTACAATGGTGATGCAGGATCACTGCGCATCAGGTGTGCCTGGAGAATACCTCTGGTGTAAGCAAAACATCTTTCTGAACTGGTACAGGTCCTTTTTCTTTCAAGCAAGAATAAGATCCACTGGTGATGTTGCTTTCTATGTGCTCTAAGACAGCATCCCAAATGCTGCTGTTTATCATACTGAGTGGAAATCCTATTAGAAAGGTCTGAAGGCTGAATGCTGATGTAGCTATCTCACAAGCACAGTCAGACTATCAGTACAGTCAGTCCATCATGTACCAGCACCGTATGTTACCACTGACCTACTTCAAACTTCAGAAAGAGAACGATTAAAAAACTGCAACCTATGATATGCAGCACAGTGTTTGGTGCTAATAATGGCCAAGAATCACAAATGAAGCCCATTTTGGGGCCAGGAAGGGAAATAGTTGTGCAACAGCATCACTTCCTACTCAAACACTCTACAGACTGGGAACTAACCAAGGTCTGAGATAAGAATCGCGGGGTGAGGCTGATATGCACTGAGGTATGTTGACAATAAGAGTTGTTTTGAGTCCTTGGTTGTGACTTGTGTGATCTCTGCCCCCTTTCCTCCAACATTTGTAGTAAAGCTGGTGGATATGAGTTTACACTCCTGTTAGACAACCACTTATGAATTCTCTTGATGCATTTGTAAGTCACTGGAAACAAAGTCAATATTATTTCTGGTCACAGACATCCACTTTTGAAGGCCTGCTTCAGAATTAATGCCTCCTTTATTATGTTGTTTCCCAGTGTCAGAAGCGGATGTTGGTGGTACGGCAGAAGAGGCTGAACCCTCCCACCAATATTTCCTTCTGTTTTGTTGGCATGTGACAGATGGCAGCAGAGGTACAGTCCGTTAAAATGAAAGTGCGGGTGAAGCATAGGTGTCACTAAATTCTTCTGCGCAGAAAATAAGTCACCTATTGACATTCATTGATGCTTGCTGAACATTGATGGAGACCAAACTGTGGATGTGAGCACACAGTGAAGCAGTAGGTGATGTTTCAGCAGTGGCAAACGCAATGTGAAAGACAAGCTATGTTCCAGATGGCTGTGCACAGCTGTCACTAATTGAAGAACATCTCAATCACCATGTGGATTGGAGGATTTCAACCAGAGTATTGTGTACAGAGCTGAATATCCTCTTAAATGTGTTGGAAACAATGGTGGCAATATTGGAATGTTGCTGAGTTTGCAGCAGGTGGGTCTCATGAATGCTCACACTGGAACAGAAAGAACACTGTATGCAAGTTTGTCAGGACCTACTGAACCAACACAAGGCTGAAGGTGACAGTTTTGTGGATCACATCATTACTAGTAACAAGTTGTGGTGTTAGCACTATCAGCTGGTGTCAAAATGGCAATCCACAGAGTGTTGATGTGAATTCCTCATTGAAGAAAAAGTGCATTCTGCAGCCCTCAGCATTTAAAGTGATGTGCACTGTTTTTTGAGATAGGAAAGGGGTAATCCTTTTTGGAGTTCCATGGAACACAGACAAACCATCTACTCTGAGCACTACATCACAATGCTGACTAAGCTGACGTTCAAACTTCCAGAGTCAAGCAAGAGAAGAAGACAAGCTTTCTCCTGCAACATGATAATGCCAGGCTTCATTCCAGTTTGAAGACCATGGAGCACACTGCCAATCCTGCCTGGACTGTCCTACCACACTCACAATATAGCCTGGATTTGGCACCTTTTGAGTTCCATCTGTTTGAGCTGATGAGAGAGGGACTGCATAGGCAACATTTTCCTAGCAATGACATCATCACAGCAGCCATGAAACAGTGGGTCATCTCTGCTGGTGCAGATTTTTGAGCACAACATGTAGGTTCTTGTTCATCACTGATAAAAATACATAGCTAATGGTGGTAACTAAATTGAAAAATAGTGTTTTGTAGCTGAGAATTAGCTCTATCAAATAATGTTCTTCTGCTGTTTGTATCTGTTTTGCTTTCCATGGAAATAAATAGGAGGCAGTGCTTTCAGAGCAGCCTATGTATATTTTTATCTTATGGATTATCTTCATCAAAGTTGTAGTCAACGCATTTTAACTTTCCTGAGTATCTCCATTATCACCCAGTCTCTATTTTTTTCAAACTATAATGTTACAGGAGACAGCAGCAGCATGATACCTCAGGATATTATTCACAGCAAAGGCATCTCAGTTAGGAACAAAATCCCAACATGTTCTTCTCTGCTGTGTTTCTCAGGGCAAGCACAGTACTCTGGAGTAAGGGTAGCAAAAGAACCGTGCAAGTATATGTGGGTGAAATACAGCTGGAAACTGCAAGAGCAGCTAACTTGCACTCATTTACCCTGCTTTTGCCTTCGTTTTGATGAAAATGGTAAGAGAAGCAATAGTGAAAATTCAAAATGTGCATAATCCAACCTACCTAATTACAGGCTATTTCTGAAAGGGGCTCACACCTCCTCCCTATTTCCACATTTCCTCCTCCATGTTTAAAAAAATTTTTAAAAAGTGAAGGCAATGAGCACAGTGAGCTGGTCTGACTCAGCCAGTAAGTAGCCTTACACTCACCAGGTGTAACCAAAAACAGAGCAAAACAGATGTGGAGCTAGGATCTTGTATTCAACAGCAATTGCCAGTGCTTTGTGTTAGGCATAGTTTGAAACTGCATGCTAACCTGCCACACAATCCATGTTTTTGTTAAGCCTTTGTGTCACTGAAGTTCATCCTTGCAGCAGATAAGCATTCAGGTGAAGTCTTTAACCCACAACAGCTGATTAAGAATAGGATGCAGTTCTCTGACAGCAAAAGATGAGAACCCTACAAGGGCTTGTTTGTATCTGTTGGTGGGCCTCCTCCAGGGCTTTTCATAAGCCAGAGGCATCTAATGCTTACTGCCTTTCTATTTTAAATCCTTTAGATGCTGTGCTGGCTGACTCATTGTGAGGTGACTGTTCACATGCAGGTGTGTTGGGCTTCACACAGGTGGCCCAACAGTACAGCCTCTCAGGAGGCAGCAGCCCTAAGGCAGGAGCACCAGCATATGCACACATGCCCTGTCAGAATGCTGCCTCTTCCTGCAGTCTGGCCAGTGTGAAGAAGTAACATGGAAGCAGGGATCATCAGGTGAGCAGGACTTCTTCCTGAAGCACATATGTGGAAGAAGTGATTTTGGCTGAAGAGTGTGTGGGGCCTATGTCAGGCAGCAAGTGCAGCTGCTGCTGCTTAGGTTACAGGACCTGCCCTGCAGTTGCAGCCAATGTTCCTGTTTTCCAGCACCCAGGAGTTTAGCTGTTACCCTAAACACCTGCCTGCACAATAAAAGAGAAAAAAAAAAAAAATGCTGTCTGGAAAGGATCTGTAAGAAAAAATATTAGTCAGAATGTTGCTGATCTACTACTGCTAAAGAGCTCTATGAGCAGGACAGCAGAAAAGGAAGCAAATGGGGCAGCCATGTTTTATGGCCTCTGTTGCCCCCTCCAGTCCTGTGCTAGCAGTTGGTGCTCTTTTGAAAACAACCACCTTGGGAAAGCTTGCACTGATAGTGTCTCAGGCTCAGTTTTTTGATGTGTCTGATCTGCACTGGAATTAAAAATTGGGGTCAGAATTTCCTTTTTTCGTTATCTCCAGCTTTCCATCAGAAAAATAAAACCTGTTTGTAGAGGAAACAGCTTTACAAGAGCTGAAGTGAACACTTGGAGGAACTCAGAGCAATAAGATGGGAAGGGCCTCAGAGTATAAAATGCATCTGTAACTCTGCTTTCAGCAACACGAGCACTTACAGACTGGAGCAGTAAAATCTGCAAAGTAGCCCAGGTCTTCCCTTAGCGGCAAGGAGGGCACAGTCTCCCTGCTGTACCCTGCCCTGGTTCGCTTGGCCCAGCCCTGTCCTGCTGCGTCACCCTCATAGCAGAGGGGACTCAGCCCCAGGAAGAAGCTGAAATGCATGGCTTTCATGCATTTTTAATGCCACATCGCTGTATTAATAGCCAACAAATATCATCATTACCTATCACCTACTGATTATTTTCTCAGGCCAGCCAGATCAGGCACCTTTGGAATGGTAACTTCATACTCAGTGTCACTTTCCTGAGGAGACAATTTTAGAGGCAGAGCGGGAGCCAAGAGAGCAGGGAGTGTATCCCAATGGTCCAGAGCAGGCTCAGAGCTTCATACCTGGATGAAATAGGCAAGGGGCAAGCTCTCCTAAAGATATTCCTGCTGCCTTTAAAGACACAACAGAAAATGCAGCAAAATGACACACTTCATCAACCCTTTAATGTCCAAAATAGGTTTTTACACTCCTTCCAAACACATTTTTAAAGTGAATGAAAATTTACCAAGCCAAAAGCCTTGTCTCTCCTACCTCAGGGAGCTTTGCTTTGTGGTCCCTTTGCCTCAGGGACCACATGCAGAAAATCATGGCAGCTGCTGGACTTTGAAAACTTCAGGCATAAGTAGCAATACAGTGATGGCTGTGTTCATCTGCTCCACAACTAAGTATGGAATAGGATTTGGTTAGAAGTGGTCACATCTTTTCAAAGGATTTAGAAACTAAAAGACACAGCTCAATCTCTTCAAAATTATAACTAGGAGCTGAGGCACTTTGACAACAAAGATGCTTTAAATAGGGAATAGAAAGGCCAGGTGACAAATCTGCATATCAGAAACACGTCTCCCTGACGTGGAAAATCTTGGTTTGGCCAAGAGCCTTGTTGCCCTATTCTGACACTCACACCCTCTTTCTTCCAAAAGTTGGGGGTTGCATTTCTTTCTTATTCACTTCAGATTTATTTATCTTCTGCCGCATCTCTTCCAGCCCTTGCTGGCTCTACAGGTCTGAGGGATTCCCATCAAGATTCACATAATCAGCTACAACATTGATGCAAAAAATAAATATTCATAGTCTTCCCTTCTGGCCATGAATAAGATTCATATCAGGATGACATAGATCCAATGTAATACACTCTAGCATAACTTACTTCTACTGCGATCAGAGAACGCGGCCTGGAGATGATGAGCTTAAACAGCTGAAATGCTGGAGAAGTACGCCCGCTGAATGAGCATTTTAACATACAGGGGATTTAACTTGGTGCTAGAGGGATAGGATGCGATTGCCAGACTGATGGCAAGAGAAAATGGAATTTTAATTGATAACTGAACAAAGAATTAGAGGTAAATCTTCAGCTCTAGTCTAACCAGGCTCACACTACCGTTCCACAGTAGAACCAAATATTCGGGAAAAAAAGACTTTCGAGGAAAATAATAGCATTTTTTAAAATAGCCTTTGATGTTTAAAATGCACATAAATAATGACAAAAGGTTTCAAAGATATGGTTGGATTGGTCCTCACATTCCTGTGACTCTCCTCTCAATCATGCAATTAAATAATTCCTGAAGTAAAAATGACTATCTATACCAAAATTAGAGATGAAGAAGTTTAACCAATTAATTGAATTATTTCTAAGTAGTGCAGATTCAAACATTTTACCATGTGTAACAGAGAATGGTAGAACACCGCAGCATGTGCTCAACACACCAAATGCTACTCACTCAGAGATGGTGCAAGGACACTGCAGAACAGAAGAGGTCTCCTCTGAATGCTGCTGCTCCAATCTTCTGGATGAAGGACAGATTCCTGTTCAAATACTGGAGATGTCGAGTTTGTGCAGCTTCTCATTAGTTATACACAGCTGGCATGTCTGACAATGCAATTTATTAATAATGTTAAGCTGGTGCAAGTACAGGCTGCTTTTTGGAGGAAAAGCCCTGTCTTCTTTTCTGTTCATATCACTCCTTATACAGCAGGTCAGATCAGAGAAGTACCTGTAGCCCCTACCAGGCTCTTGTGGGAAAGCCTGTAAGACTCTGAGGGGCAACAGAGAAAGGGGCTGGCTGAGTTTTCAGCTGGATCAGTCCCCGATTTGCCTCATAATCCACCTGAGCAGCTATTGTTTCTGATACGAGCTCAGGGAGGAAGACTACAGAGCAAAACCTGATGCAGAGAGCACTGACCTGGGGG